CCCCCCGCCCCCTTCTAATATATGACTGGTCCCTAATTGTTTAGCATAAACATACTAGCTAATATTATTGTATTGAAAACAAAGAATGTCATTGAAAACTTTACTGTACAAAGCGACGGTCAATCGGCAGCACTGTTTTCATTCATATTTGCGAACTCGACTCCATGTTGCCATCGTTACGAAGTAGGTTTTGGTGGACGTCAATCAATTAATGTGTTTCCATGRCATTCCATAGGCATGTTTAGTGTTGAATGTATGACGTCACAGACTCCTAAAAATTCATAAAAATATAATACTTCCCATCCGAATATCAGGGGGAAAAAAAGTTGACCAGTGATTATTAGACCTTAAAGGGTTATTCCAGTAAAAGTTTCAGCTGAATTAAAATTTAGATGATTTTTGTGCTAGTCTCCCTTTAAGAGCTATGTGTTTTCTGACAATGCTGGGAAACACTTTGATTGGCGTCCACCAAAACTCTATTATATCTCAAATCCCCCCCCGATTCCGAAACGCTGGTTAAACTTGGTTTTTGATATTCCAATGAAAAGTTTGATTTTTTGCGAATCTTTAAAATAGTTCAATGACGTCATTTACTCAACACCAAACGGTACTTTTTACTTTTYTCTGTATTTTGTGATAAAATTTCGTAACACAGTAAAGAAGGGAAATTTGATAGAAGGGGACGGGAAAAAAAAGCTGAAGCTGGGAACTGGTGAAGATTTTCTTCAATCTGATTGGTCGTTTAATGTCCTTCTAGTTATGATTCTTATGTTTACATGTATGTACATCTATATACATCTATATACATCTCTTTTTTACATTCACACAACTGCGAAATCATTGCCGGGTGCAAAACAAAGAACATAAAAGCTGAAACCGAAATGGTACACGGATAGTAGGTAAATAGACCAGTTTCGAGTTCCAAATTACCGCTGTGTTACTTGATTACAGTCTCATTTGCTCAGGCTTAGCCTCGAATCAGTGTCTAATTACTCGCAAATACCAACGGTAAAGTAAAGAATGCACAAGTTTAACAATACGAACACTTTGAAACTTGACGGACCTTGACTGGAACACATGAATATTCTTCACAAAATCGAAGCTAAGCCTGAGTAAATGAGTCTGTAATCAAGAAACACAGCGGTAATTTGGAACTCGAAAAGGGTCTGTTAGATGAATCTAGATGCAATGTTCATTAATCATTTCATTGACAGAAAGTATAGAGGCTTTTAACACATGTTTCATATCGACTGTGTATTTCGAATKAATACATCAGATGACCATAATGTCATTTCCCAGAATACCTTTCCGTCTCAACTTGTTTGTTCTATGTTTTGTATCCGACARTGATTTTGCAATTGAGTGTGTATCACAAATGGTATTTGGTAACTAACAARAATGTAATGTTTTGCCGATTTCAGACCCCGTGTCATTCCCTAGAGTATCATTTCTTTGTTTAACGATTGCACATGAAAAGACACATGGATACAACTCAAACAACGAATCTTACTCTCAAGACAATGACACGGGGTCTAAAGTGGGCCACATTTCGCCGACGCTAAAGGCAGTTCTATTGATCGGCATACCAGATTAATATAACAAAGCACTAGATCAACTAGAGCTTAGGTTTTAGTTTGCGAGAACTTTAACAGGTCTGAAAAAATATCGGGCTGTTAAATGATTCACTAGAAATTTCGTCTCYCAATATAAATCTTGTTCGTTTTGAGAGGTCAGACACTACACTGTTTAAAATCAACATAGCTTTATAATTCTCGAAGCATTATTATTTTAATGGTTAATTCATTTAAGTCTGCTAACCTTCTCTYTTTTTAGAGCTATTCATGATTCCATTCTGTAATAGACCAGTTTCGAATTCCAAATTACCGCTGTGTTCCTTGATTACAGACTCATTTGCACAGGGTTAGCCTTGTATCAGTGTTTAAATATTCACAAATACCAACGGTAAAGTAAAGAATGCACAACTTCAACAATACACACACTTTGAAACTCGACGGAACTTGGCTGGAACACGTGAATATTCTGCGCAAACTCGAGGCTAACCCTGTGTAAATGAGTCTGTAATCAAGAAACACAGCGTAAATTTGGAATTCGAAACGGGTCTATTGATGGGTTGCAACTTTATTTCAAGAGAGTCAAAAGACRAAATGTTAGCGGCTATTGGTGCGGTTAACAATGGATTCAATATACGTTCAATATACTTCGTACAGCAACATTTGAACTCTAGCTATTTATAGTTAAGGCTTTGATAATGGGGTCACGATAACTCCAAAACACCGTGCGTTATTAATATCTTTGAAGTTTGTATTCTTATGTATAGAGATTTTGCACCATCACGTGACGGCAGCCATGTTAGATGGCAGGAAGAATGCAATCATTTTACATGAGAAAGAATTCAATTCTCAAGAGCAAAAGTATTTTAATGTTCTTTCATCTAAACACATGAAGCYCAAGTAGTATTATGGGATAGGCAGGTAATGGTGCAAAACCTCTATTGCAAAACCTTCAACAATGCATTAGTATGTATCAGAGAAATCTCATGTTAAATGAGGGCGGATCCAGGGGGTGTCCTGTGGTGCACCGCGACACCTCCCTAACGCCATAATTACTCACGCTTTTTTTAAGCGATGCATATACATTTCTTCGTGTGGGACACCCCACTAACAAATTCCATGATCCGCCCCTCTGAATAGCACCGCCATGGCCGCGATTACGTAACATGCTAACGAGGAGTACTATATTAACATCTCGATATTCAAAGGCTCAGTATGCTTCGATTTAATATGGTTTAATAGCCCTCGGTACCTCACAAAGCTTCTTCCACAATGTTTGCATTTATGTACGGTATTTTCGCTGTCATGCAGCTTGACATGTTTTTTCATATTACTGGGATCGCTGAACGACTTGTCACAAAATTTACACTTCAAAGGCTTGAATCCGGTATGCGTGCGCATGTGGATTTTTAGGACGTATTTCCTGCAGTAAACCTTGCCGCAAAAATCACACGTGAATCCCTGAGATGCTCGAGAAGTGGACTGGGGACTACTGCCCAAGGTATAAGGCAGTGCAAATGGGTTAAGGTGCTGGTATCGTGACAGCGAGGCCATTGAAAATGTCGACGCTCTCTCATGGTATTGAGCCAGCTCTTTTCTTGTCACGCTTGATAGAAAAGAATTCTCAGGCAAATACCATGGTCTTGGTGCTGTCACGCAATAACGAGGCATGAATGAATGCTGTTCTACACTCTCCATTATGGGACTACATTTTTGTTCAACTTTTGAGTCCATTCCCCCGTGTATTGAATCAGAAGAGATGGTGTCTTGAACTTCTAAACTTGATGTCTCATTGACTTGATCTTTGAGCTCATTTCTTTCTATTTGATTTTGATCAGCAATGTCATTCAGTTTTTCTGATTGTTCTTCAAATTTGTTTCGGCTTCTAGCGTCACATTCACCGTTACAAGTGCAAGTAGAGTCATGACACGTGGTGCATGGACCAATATCACGTGACTCTTCATCCTTATCATGAAAAGATTCTATAGTAGAAACACGATTCGATAATTCTGAATCTCTTTGGTCGTTACTAGAAGTACGGAACCAGTCTTCAGACATACCGCTGTAGGGACTCCATATCATGTGAGTGTTTCTATCGATATCAGAGGATCTCCTCGCATCACTGACCATCACCATATCCCTTGAATGCATCTCATCCCAGCGCTGCTGTTCATGCCTCATCATTTCGTTATCGTCGCGGCAGTTCATTTCCAGTGTTTCGTACTTGACAGGCTTTTGCATTGATAGTGATGCCAGAAAACGCTCCTTTGTCAACATAAAGGTTTTTTCGCCTGATCCTTCTCTATACAAGTGTTTCCTAAGATAATGTTCATTGCCTTGGAATTTTTTCCTAAACTCGTTTTTATGGTGATCAGCTAAGGTTTCAGAGCTCGTTTCCTTGAGATGTCGAGGTTCTGAGAAGGAAGAAATAAGACTGGCAAGCTTTGGATCTTGGAATGGCGGAAACACATTCTTAGCTAATCGACGAAATGCTGAATGCAGGTTGTGGTGTAAATTTGAATCTAGTTCATAAGAGGAGGGATTCATCCGAAAGGATCTGTCTAAGCTGGACGAAGAGGTTTGCGTAAGAGAAAGAGAGCTACTGCCGGAAAGTTCTTTATATTTACTCTGGTGATTTTCCCTTTTTGCTTCATCAGACTGGCAGCGAAGAAGCGCATGCGTTGCGAAGAGACTCCGCTGGTTTATCATATCGCAGGTAGGACATTGTTGTCCAATACCTGTGTGTTAAGAAAAAAACATTTTAGAAAATTTGTAATTTGTTTTCAGAAACGTATTTCTTCCCGTTTTCTACCTACTTTTACATTGATTATTACATCGATAGCCTAGTACAYGTCATAAAGCATTACACAGGTGATCATAGAAAACCGCGCGCGCCTTTTGTTAATGCGAGTGACGCGCCTTCAAAATACAAAATAAGCACATTTTAAAATGAAACCAATGTTGTCTATTTTCTTTCAAATAACCACCTACGTAATGATACTATTCAAATAATTATTCGCCTCAAGCAAGCAGTTTTACAACAGCTTATACACTGACATTTCCACAATTACACATATTACCTTTACTCTTGACAGCCATATCATTCTTTGAAATGCCAATCTCTCTTTCAAGCGAAGGGCTGAACCACGCTCTGAGCTCCTCTCTCGGCATAATATCTCTAGTAGTTCTGAGATAGATCTCATTGTCTGGTCCGCGAATCATCTCCATAGTTGGATCCCACTTGCATAATGCCCCAGGCACTATCTGCAGCCATATTTGCTCGTCTGCTTCGAGATGCAAATTCATTACCTTGTCCTTCTCCTGTCGACAAAAAATAAATAGAATAAAGTTGTGCTATATTCCTGGAATATATCCTATTCTTTAAAAATTGAACAACTAAGTCTTCAAAAGCAGACTACTTCGACTATACGGCGGCCATCTTCGTTCGCAGGGCATTACAATGGGGCGTCTAGGGGCAATAAAGCTTTGTTACAGTGTATTTATATTCAACACCTCACTACAAGACAATACGACAAAAGATGAATTAAGACAGCACATTGATCACCTTTACCCATAAAAGAAAGACAAACACACGAAACTATATATATTTTCCGTCATCTTTGTTTTGTTTTGCCCCCTGGCAAGATGGCCGCCGTATCGTCGAAGTAATGCATTGCTGTTTAGCAAATCATCATAAAATAACTGATGTCAGGGGCGGCGGAAGCGGGGGGGCCGGGGGGGCACTGGCSCCCCCACTAGATTTTTTGGGGGGGTCTGGCCCCCCCAGAATATAATGCCTCACACACACACACACACAMAMAMAAAAACGCATGAGATTTGGTTATGATTACCATTATTTATTATTTTGTTATTACATAAYTTTCTGTATCTAAAAAATATACGATATATCTAGCGACGACTTGCATCATTTTTGTGTCTCTCAGCACAATTGCAAGTGGTTTAATRCGCGCAAAATGTTACTGATTGAAATATCACACATACACGTTTGTAATCAAGCTAACAGGGAGGGGGGTCATTTCAAGGTACCGTGAAACATTGGAATGCCCCCCCAATTTTTCAGCTTCCGTCGCCCCTGGATGTCGATATAACGTTATAACGAGACCACACTGTAAAAACAAAACTCAAAACATTCGCAATAAAATCTACCCTCTTGATATTTAGGCTCTATGTTTTACACCACATTTTTGCAATTTGGTATACTTGAGTGCATACCACATATCCATATAACGGAATTGTACAAATTGCCCTATAACACTATGAAATCACATAAAAACAGTCTATTGTTTTGACGCTAAGGATTATTATTATTGTCATTTAGATATTATTATTACATATACATAATATACAATTCAACAAACAACGCATCGTAATTATACGCATGTAAATTTTTCGTCTTTTCAGTCATTGTATATACTTATGTAAATCTATATATATCTTATTGTAATCTTGAATTTTTCAAATTTCTACGTAATAATATTGCCATTCAATAGTAATTAAACATATCAAACAATTGTTGTCATTCGCGGGCTTCCTGTGGTGACAAACCACGCTCCCCTCCCCTACACAATTTCCAGTCTTTTTTCGGCCAAAACCAAGATGGCTGACTAGTTAGTGATGTTTTCACTCGATTTACTGTAAATTTGAGCAGTTTTGAGCAAGAAATTCGCCTATTTAGTGAAGAAAATTATATTCCAATTTCCTAATATGGTAAGTACATTCCATGTATGGTAAAAGAAACAGCTCGAGCGGAACGACAACTTTTCTATGTGGAAAGTTTGATATCGGTTATTATTATTATTATTATTACGATTATTATGCAGTTTATTAAACATCTGGATGCGAGGCAAAGACACTCATAGGGCGCGTAAACGTAACCTATGGGTGTTCAAACTATTTACAATTAGATATGCTCTACAATAAAATATTTACAAATTTRRCAATTATTTACGATATACATCAGACCATTTAGTAAATGTATAACATAAGGAATACTTTTAAAATAATATAAATCTAAAATTTGTAAAAGGAATAGATTATATCATGCGTAAAATTTATAACTTCTTATAAGAATTCAGTTCATATAATAGTTCATTTTCTATATGTCCAATATACACATTATACACCTCCTATACGCTCTTAAATGTCCTATATTATTATTAT